CGCCAGTCTCCTAATGTCTGGTGTGCTTGAGCCCATTGTTACCATTACTTTGTCACTTTATCTCCTTGGGAGGTCTTCCTGTCTTTTCCTGACCCTACATCTTTCCTAGTGGACCTTTTTTTAAGACCTTTCCCTTCCTCATAGCATCCTCAAAGTGTGTGAGACAGTTTCACCAGCCTTGCATCTAAAGTCAAAGGGCACCAATGACTTCACTTTTGTCCTCTCATTTATTTGGGGGTCCCTATGGTAAGGAGCTAGGCTGCTAAGGGCACATGGACACATGGTTTGAGCATTTGAGCTACTAAATGAACAGATAGCCTTAAGCCTTGCTCACTTATGGTTTCAGATTCCATTAGAGAGCCTCCTTTGGAGGACTTTAGGAAAGGAAACACGCAGTTTCTCTGACATTTTAAAAATATGAACCAGTATATGTAAAGAATACAAGATTGATCTTTTGGTCATTATCTATTAAACAGAGCTTGCTTTCTTGTTACGTGAACATTATTATAAATGTTTTTAGTCTAAGAAACATTATCAGTAAAGGCAGTTTGATACAGAAACATGCTTATAAATTGAAATGGAATGGAAAGTTTGTAACAACCTACTAGAATTTTTTTCATGCCTCAGAGAGAGATGGTTATTTTTTTGCTTGGGAAATGATAACACTTTAGCTCCATATCTGTGCTGCACAGATGGTAGAAGAATGCAGCTCACTAATCATGAAATTGCCCTGGAACTCTCAGACTTAGTCTTTCCAAAGAGGTAGACTAATAACTGCTGCTTTTTCTTTTTTTTTTTTTTTAAAAAACCCTAAAATGTTAATTCTTCTGGTTGGACATCTCATTAACTCAAGACAGACTGTACTTTAAACTTGGTACTTTATTTAAAGCATAGTCACAGGTAGAGGAAAAATGTCATTGTGAGCACTCAGCAGCTTTGTTTTGTTAGAAGCAGAGTCCCCAGGGCAAGGTGCTGTCAAGTTGATTAATAGGTAGTGGTGGTCATCCATGATTCATAGCGACCCTGTGAACAGCACATCTAAACTTTCCTGTATCCTGCACCATCTTCATGATCTCTGATAGGATCAAACACAATTTAACAGTCACTGTGGCACTTCATTGTTGAGGATCTTCTTCTTTTTCACTGACCTTCCCTTTTCCCAGCGTTGATGTCTTTTTCCAAGCAGTGGCTCCTCCTGACTGCATGCTCAAGGTATGTGAGACCAAGTTTCAGCAGCTTTGTGTCTAAGAAGCACCTTGGTTGCACTTCCTCTAAGACAGACTTGTTTGTTCGTTTGGCTTTCTGTGAGATACTCATTACTTTTCAAACAGCACAATTCAAAGGCATCAATTTTATTTTTGTCATTTCTATTCGTAGTCCAACTTTCAGATGCATGGGAAGTAATTGAAAAGACTGTGACTTAGGTTAGGTGCACCTTAGTCTTTAAACTGACATTGTTGCTTTTAAACACTTCAGAAGAAGTTCTTGACAGACAGCAGATTTTCCCAGTGCAACAAGTCTTTTGATTTCTTGACTGCTGGATGTTGATTGTGGATTCTATTCAAGCTATTTCAGAATATAGAGGAAGATGGAATACTTCCAAACACCTTCGGTGAAGCAAGCATAATTCTGATATCAAATCCAGGTAAAGATACCACTCATAAAAGGAAATTATACACGAAGTAGCCCTCATGAACAGAGATGCAGAAATTCTCAACAAAATCCTAACTCTAACCAGCTGAATCCAGCAGTATTCTATTAAATATATTTCTCATGATCAAATGGAATTCATATCAGGTATGCAAGGATAGTTCAACATTAGATAAACAATCTGTAAATCAGTAAAAAAAAACCACCCAAAACCACATGGTCATCTCAGTTGATGCAAAAAAGACATTAGACAACACTCTTTCCTGATTAAAACACTCAGCAGAATAAGAGAGAGGTAATTGCTCAATATAATTAAAAGCACAACTACAAACCAACAGCTAACATTGCTTTCAATGGATGGAGAGTAAAGATAACTTACTTCCTGTGCAAATGGGAACCAGACAAGACTGTCCTTTATCACCATTCCTATTCAGTATTGTTTTGGACATCCTAATCTGAGCAATAAGGCAAGAAAAGGAAATAAAAGATGTCCAATTTGGAGGGAGCTCTGGTGGTCTAGTGGCAAGAAGCTGCACTGCAATCCCAGAGGTACATGGTTCAAATCCACCAGATGCTCGCTGAAGAAGGAGGGGCAATCTCCTCCTGTATGAGTTAGATCCGATTTGACAATACACACACACACACATGCACACACGCACACACACATAATAAAAAGAAAAAAAGATGTCCAAATTGGCAAAGCAGAAGTAAAATGATCACTCTTTATAGATCTTATTTAGAGGAAATCCTAAAGACTCACCAAGGAAGTTTTTAGATCTAATTGACTGACTCAGCAGGAGGGCAAGGTACAAGATGAGCATTTAAAACTCGCCCTGCTTCTTCTCCAAAAGAGGACTCTTAAGAGGAAATAATGCCATTGCCAGTAGCCACCCCAAACCTAATGTCTTTCCGAGTGTATCTAACTAATGACTTGAATGGCCTATACAAAGAAAACCACAAAAAGACCTACATAAATGAAAAAAATATGCCATGCTTTTGGATCATTTTTGTTGTTGGATCAGAAGAAAACTTAACTTTGCCAAAGCTAGCTGCAGATAAAATGCAGTCTGGATCCACATCCTACCATTCATTTTTTTGTGGAATGGAAAGATAAGAAAAAAAAAAATCAACTTCATATGGAAAGGAGAAAGTCACAAAAAGACAATATATAAAAAGTAAGAGAAGATTTTACACAGATGTAATAAATTTTTGGAGGGATAAGAGGTATCAAAAGGGAAGGAGAGGAGAGTAGTAAATTGGGTGATGGGAAACAATAAAGATTTGTTAGACATTGTCATTGATTGTTAATCAGTGGTGAAGTCATAAAACAAAATACTTGAATGATTATATGAAAAATCTCAGTATAATTTATAACACTTCATTTGAGTGAAAAACCACAAAACTTAATATCTTTGAATTCACACTCAAGTTTTACTTTGTCTGCGTCTTGTTTCCATGTCTTTAAAAATTGTTTACCGTCTTGAGTTTTAAACTCTTAATTATTCTGCATGCATTTGAAAGCATGATGGAACTGGGCAAAAAGCAATGTATGTTATTGTTGTTATAAAATGACATTGTACCCGGCCCATGTCCTGGTGTAACTTCATTCCTGAACCACTCTGAACTGATTTGAAGACCTGAAAGACTTCTATGCATAGTATAAAATGTAATATTCTAGTAAAAAGTTAACTCTTTATTTCAGTTAACTTTTCGGAGTTTGTATTTTAACCTCTCCCTTGGGAGGTAGAATTGAAGGGTGTCCATAGTTCAAACTCTCTACTCTGCCCTAGTATTTTATTAAAATGGAAAGGAATAGAAAAGCCACACACTATTCATTAGTGCTTATTGTATTTAACTAGCCCTTGGAATTAAGCATGGTAATTGTCTGTTGTTGTTGTTATGTGCCGTTGAGTCCCTTGCCAACTCATGGTGACCCTATGTACAACAGCCCTAAACTCTGCTCTGTCGTGTGCCAATCGCACCGTCTCCGATACACCCATCCCGATTACCCCAGTCACTGAAACAATCCACCTCATAGAGGGCCTTCCCCTCCTGCGCTGTCTCTCCACCCTACCAAGCATGATGTCCCTCTCCAAGGACTGGTCCCTCCTTACAACGTGTCCAGAGTATGTTAGATGGAGCCTCAGAATCCTTGCCTCCAAGAAGCCGCCCGGTTTGACGCTTTCCAGGATGAATCTGTTTGTTTTCCTAGCAGTCCATGGTACCCTTAGTACTCTTCTCCAGTACCACAGGTCGAAGGCATCGATTCTCCTTCTATCCTCCTTAGTCATTGTCCAACTCTGATGCATAACAAGTGATAGCAAAGACTACAGCCTGTATCAGACGCACCTTAGTCTCCAGAGAGACACCATTGCTCTTCAGTACTTTGGAGAGGTCGCTAGCAGCACACTTTCCCATGGCAATACATCTTTTAATTTCCTGGCTACTGGTAATTGCCTAGATTTGATATAACCATATTACATTCTGCTTCTTCAAATGTGTAAATGCTAAGGAACCCAGCCTGTTCTTTGGGGTGTTAATGGGTTGCTGGTGTCATGGGGAGTTTGCAGGCATCACCAGGAAGTTCCTTTCAAGCCTTGCCTCTAAATGGCTTTAACTAGCCAGTGTAAAACTTGGGTACCTTTTTGATTTTGCCACTTTGTTTCACGATAATGCGCTTGTTTCTAAACAAGTAGATATTTAGTTTTAGTTATTATAGGCTTGTGTTTTGGTTTGGTTTTATTTTTTTAAATGTTAAAAAGTATGTGGTAGAAGCCAACTGTTGTATACGGTAGAGTTGGAACTGTCCCTGGGGGTTTTCAGAGGCTGTTAATCACATGGGAGGAGACTGAACCGTGTGCCTTCGAGATTGCAGCGCAGCTTCTTGCTACTAGGTCACCAGAGCTAAATATAAAAAGGTGTATGGTAGAAGTCAGCTATGTATGTAAAGCTCTTGAAACTACAGAGGCCTAGCCTACTAGCGTGGTTGTGATCTTAATTTGGTTTGTTTTTGGTGTTTTAAAAAGCACTTACTCCTTTAGTGGCAAAAATTCCCCTGTGAAACCATCAGAAATTATGTTTAATTGAGTGCATAGAGTACTTAAATAGAAGCATCTCTATATTCTTGGAAAGCACCATTCTGTACAGTCAGGCAGTTTCTGAAGATACGTGGAGATGTAATTGGAACCATTCACTATAGTTAGGCATTTTGTAAGTGGTGGTTGACTAGGCATATTGTAACAATAAAAAAAAAAGTGTATTTTAATGACATTCTAAATTGGCATCTGTGAGATGTTAAGTGGCATAACTAGATTCTTGTCATTATAAAACTACTGATTTTTCTTTTTCAGATTTCTTTGTGAAGACTTAGTACAAAAAGTTATTGGGATAATCGTCATTTGGTAAGTTTTCTGCCCCTTTTACCAATGCTACTTTGAGACGGCAAAACTAATTATTGGATTGATTTTGGGGATATGTTTGTTAATCTTCATATCTCTTTATTTGAATTTTTTCATATTTCTTGGAGCATGGTGGTGTGGTGCTTTAGGTGCTGTGCTTACCAAAAAGGTCCCTAAAAAAGGTATGAATCTACAGGTGCTCTATGGGAGAAAGATGGGCAGTCTCCTGTTTAGATTATAGCCCCACAAATTCTTTGTTTAAAATAAAAGTCATATCAGATCTCAAGTTCTTCCACATTGAAACTCTTTTTTTTGTATTGAGTTTTCTTAAATTGGAATATGTCTACTTGAAAAGAAAGACTTCTTACTACAAGGATTAGACATATTAATGTCAATTTTAACTAGAAAACAAGCTCTGGAAAATTTATTAGACCTGTCACTAGTTGTGCGTATTGTTCCCAAATATCATTTCCCCCTCAGATATATGTGTGTCTTTTACAACATAAATTTTTATTACTGCCTCTCATTTAGAGAATTACACAATTTTGGTGAAAAGAAAAATTATTACTTTGGTTTTCAGTTTCTAAATCCAAATGATTCCTTTGTTTAGAAACCTTTAGCTTGATACTACTCCAGAATAAGGATCAAGCTCCCTCCTTAACATGCCATTTAGAGTTCTTTATGAGTGAACTTTAAAGTGAGCTTTGAACGCGTCTCCTGGATACCTTGTGCACCTCTTAACTCTAATTATGATGACCTACTTACTGTTTTTTGAGTATTCTTTGATGTACTTTCCTGTCTCTTCCCCTCCTCCTCTCACATGTGCCATTCCTGATTCCTGTTCCTCATTGTCTTTGTAGCTTAAAATCTGACCATTCAGAGCTATTCAATTATTTAATCAGGGTCCTCCACAAACCTTCATTCAGTTCCCAGTCAAAATCTATTCTCTTTGTCTTTTACATTGTTGTGGAATTACATTTCTGCATCTCCTAACACACTCTGCCTTCTTTCATTTGCCACCTCCATAGATGTATGGACTCCTTGAAAGCAAGAGCTATCCTTATGTTTAAATTTTTAGTTACAATAAACACTCACTGATTTTTAGGCTATAATATCTTTTACTGTAAATTCACTTTGACTTTTTTTTTTCCCAAAAAAGAAAAAGAAAATTGATTCTGTAGAGTTTCAATAGGGATTATTGAATGTAATCTTGTTGGTTCAGGATGCTGACTTTTTGCCCTTTTAGTGAAATTGGCTAGTTTGTTGATTTACTTTCTTCTGTAAGTGTGATCTTCAGTTTTTGAGTGAAGAATTGAGTAATTTCTCTTTAGCAGGTGCCTGAAATTACAATATACATGTCATTGTTACTCTTAGTGACTGTTAAGTCCATTCTGACTCATAATGACTCCTGTGTTACAGAATAGAACAGCTTCTGTGGACTTTCGAATTTTTTTTTTAAACAAAGTTTTATTATGGTTTAATTAATAGTTTACAGTGAAAATTTGGTTTCCACACAATTACTCATTCATACTATTTTATAACAATTATAATACCCACAATTCTTCCCTTTATTTTTTATTTCCATTCACCCTATCTTCCTATCTTTACCCATGTTCTGAACTTTCTCCTTAGGCAAATGCTACTTTTGCAATTTCATACAGTTAGTAAGAATGGGTGTATTCTTTGCTGGCTATATTGATTATTTTGTTGGTGGTGGTAGTGTTATGTGCCGTCGAATCATCTATAACTCTTAGTGACCTGATGAACAATAGCCCTTATCCTTGCCTTATCCTGAGCAAACCTCACTGTCTCTGACACACCTGACCCATTGCCACAGTCCCTGTGTCAATACATATTATCTAAGGTCTTCCTCTCCAGTGCTGACCCTCTACTCATCTAAGCATGTTGCACTTTTCCAAGGTCTGATCCCTCCTGGCAACATGCCCAAAGTATGTGAGGCAGAATCAAAATCCTTACTTCCAAGGAACAACTTGGTTTAACCTCTTCAGGACAGACCTTTCTGTTTTCTTGGTAGTCCATAGTATGTTCATTACTCTTCTCCAGCACCACAGCTGAAAGACATTGATTGCTCTTCTGTCATCTTTATTCAGTGTCCAACTTTCAAGTAGCAAGCAGTTGAGACCATGGCTTGCATCACCTGCACCTTAGTCTCTAGACTGACATCATTTCTCTTGGCACTTTGGAGAGGCCCCCGACAACAGACTTTCCTAAAACAGTTTGTCTTTTGCTATCCTGGCTCCTGGTGCCAAGGGCCTGAGCAAGATGAAATTGTTAACTTCCTCAGTCTTTACTCCATCTATGATGATACTGCCAGTGGTGAGAATATTAAGTTTCTTGATATTGAGATTTAATCTATATTGAAGACTACAATCCTTGACCTTCAACAGGTGTTTCAGATCCTTCTCAGTTTTCGGCAAGCAAAGTGTGTCACCAGGTTTTTTTTTTAATCTTTTTCATCGCCAGCTTTTTTATAAAGTCTTGCCTCCTGAATGATCTGTTCCACATGTAGATTGAAAAGGTACAGAGAAAGGATACATCTCTGACACAATCCTTTCTTGATTTTGAACCATGTGGTAATTCCTTGGTTGGTCTGTACAACAGCTTCCTGGTGTAGGAATAAATTTCACAGTTCTTGTGGCTTAGTAAGAAGGAATTGCATTGCCAACACAGAGGTATGTGGTTCAAATCTACCAGCTGCTCTGTAGGGGAAAGATGGATAATCTCCAGTGTGATTTACTGCTTTTGGAACAACTGCTGGAGGGTCAGTGATGAGTTGGTTCTTCCTCAGCAACAACAGTTGATCACTTTGTAGACCTGTTTATTGTTTGGCTAAAATATTGAGGTTTTATGGAATTTCATTTTATTTGAATCTATATCAGTACCCCTGGAAACAGTTGTTAAGGGAATCAAAAGATGTACTGGGTAACTCTGCCACAGAAGACATCTCTAAAGTACAAAGGAGCAGAGATGTCACTTTTAAGAGACTAAAATATGAAGGAAGGGGAGGAAAAGATTAAGATGTATTTGGTGCAAGCCATGGTGTTCGCAGTTACTTTATATGCATGTCAGAGTTTGACAATGTGTAACGGAAGACTGAAGAACAGTTGATGCCTTTGAATTGTAGTGTTGGTGAAAAATATTGACTATTCCATGGACTGCCAAAAGAACAAACAGATACTTCTTGGAAGAAGTGCTGCCAGTGTGTTCTTAGCATCATGGCTGGTGAAACTGGCTTCTATGCTTTGGGCATGCACCTAGAAGGGCGGAGAAAAACCCTCAGGGAGGTAGATTGACACAGTGACTGCAGGAGATTTGAGCACGATGGAGATTGTGAGGATGGCACAAGATTGGGCAAGATTTCAACCTCTTTTTACATAGGATTGCTAGGATTTGGACTTGACAGCACAATGGAGTGGTGAAGGACTCCTGGTGATCTGGTCTGTACTATTTACCAAAAGCTTGGTGGTTTCAGTTCCTCAGCCACTCCTTGTGAGAAAGATGGGCAGTTTCCTTTAGAGATTTTCAGCCTCAGAAACAAAATGGAGGGTTGCTAATGACTTAGACCAGACTTAATGATAATGGCTTTGATTTGGTTTTATTTTTTGGCTTTACCACCAGTGTGCATGTGCTTTCCTATATTTATGGATACATTTGCAGCATAAAGATTTAGCCCCTTTTTAACATTGTTAAAACTTTTATCCCCAATCTGTATATTTTCTCTTTACTTTTCACAAAGTGTTTTGGTGCTCTAACAGGACCTTATATTGCAATCCCTTTTCAGAGTAGTCTGTTAGCCAGACACCGCAGTTCTTCTAGCCTCAATCTTCTGGACTAAGATCAAATTTCAGTGCTGTAGACTCAGTTTAGATGCCTAATGACCTTCCGTGGGGCTCCTGAGGCTGTAAAGTGCAATGAGAAGAGACAGACTATGCGTCTTCCTTGGAGCAGCTGGCGGATTCAAACTACCAAAGACACAGCCTTTTGGTTTTGGCAGCGCAACACCCCTGACATCACCGGGGTGATGGTGATTTGTCTTCACTTTTGACTATGGGCAAGGAAAGACTTAATAGTTTCACCTTTGATGTTCACTTCTAGTTTGTCTTCTGCTGTTTGTGCATTTTAAGTTTATTCATTCATAAATTGACAGACATTTGTTTCTACTTTATTATTATGAATAATACTGCAGTAAAGACTTAGGTTTTGTGTGGACATTTATTTTTTTTTAAATTCTTTTGGATGATATATACCTGGGAATGGAATTGATGGATCATTATTATGACTAACATAGCAGCTCTTCCAATTCATAATAGCCAATCCCCACATCCAAATTCTCTTCATCCCACCTACATTTCTTAAATGAATGTCTTCTTTATTGGTAGTTACATCTTGGGTTAGTGAATAGTTTTTAGAAAAATAATCACTTCTATTTAAATTATTTAGGAAACAGGTTTTTTTGAGTGTATATATTGCATTTATTAGAAATTTATTTCTAAAACACAAATCCCATTTCTGTAACATTAGGACAGTTCTTTTTTAAAAAAGAGTCTTGTACAGCAGCATCTTGGATTTTTGCTCTGTACGTCCTCTCATTTTTAGTTAATTCTGACAAATAACCACATTGCACACCCTTACCATGTACTGCAGCACTGCTTTTATTCCCTATTCTTCTGCCATGCTTAATTTTCTTCATTACACTGTATTTATTTCTTGTCATTTTGTAGGTATTATTTCTAGTAAAGGAAGACAGGTAGTAAAATTAAGCTCCATGACATTTTGTTCACAGCTGTCTCCCTAAAACCTCAGATGGTGTTTGCAAATAGAGTCAGTATTGAATAAACATTTATTGGAATGAATGCATAAATGAAGTAATTTTGAGCTAATTTTAGGGTTCTTGAATTAGAGCAAATCACAAAGATCTGATTTCTGTTTGAATACTGACATTGATGGCTTTTACTTGGTTTGTGTGTGAGCCGTTTGGTTGT